GCAAAGTTTAACTGAGAAAGAATAAACTAGTTTTATTTAAGAAAGGACTTGTATCGCTGAAGTTTTTTTGGAAAGAATTTCTACTGAAAATTAACCAACGACCAGAGACGTAACAGAGTTTTTTAGAAAAACAGATGATACTTGAATTATTGTTGAAAACTTTGACTTTATATTTTTATATTATGTATATATATATATATATATATATATATACACACACACACACATATATATATGTGTGTGTGTGTGTGTGTGCTGTTTAAAGCAATATATGTGCATATATAATAGAGGAAAAATTGAATAATTGTTGAATTTATAATTACTTATAATAAGTGTATTACACAGGAGATGCCTAACCCTCCTCACCCCTACAGTAAGAGGAGACTTTCCCTAAATCTCAGCGAGTTCTAAATCTTCAAGCAACACTTGAAATGACGTTATTTTTGTTTTGTTTCTTTTAACCTCAGAAATACATGAGCCTTCATTGAAACAAAACAAATAAATGTATAAGCTATGAAAAGCTTGGTCACGAAATTGGTTCTAGAATATGATTATAACGCTTTAGTGAAACATAATCATGTTCGCACCCAACTATAAGCATTTTCGGTTCGCCAGTTACCAAGAGCAACGACCTCCTTCTTAGACTACCTCCATGTGTGAGAACCGATGGCGTTACAATACATAAATATTTTGTACAGCTTCTCCGCCCTATAGCATTTGGCTTCATCATGGCAACCGGAGTAGCATTACTTTTAACTCTCATTGTTGTCATTACTGCACAGACTGAAAATACCATCAGGGCATCGAAAATTCCAAACAGGTTTGATTTTGTTATAAGTTTATCTACACTACCGTCTTGAAAGTAGAAACACGTCCCAACTTGAAAGTTGTGTTTAGTCATTATACTGTATAGACATAAAGTAAACTGTTAAACTCGGTCGGAAAAGTTATAGAAACTTAAGAAAACAAATTCGAAACTTAATAGTTCTGCACTGAAACTTTGATCTTATGATTTAGCCTTTTACAGTTTTAGACTTGCATATTTTAAAGTTACTATGCTAGTAATACTATTCTACTTAAGTTATAAATAAAAAGTGTAGTCTAAGTTAAGTTTGGTAAGTTTTTTTCTGCAGCCCGATTATCTATGCTGTAACATGTTGTCGACTGGGTTATATAGATGTGCAACAGATTCACCCGACGTGAAAATGGAGCAACTTCTGTAATGATTAATGAGCATAAATAAACGTTGGTAGTTCTAGTACAAAGTAATAGCAAACTTAATGTTGCATGTGCATCAGATTCCTATTTGCTTCCCTCTATATTACACCAAGTACATTGTTAAGATATTTGTTTCGTTTTCTGTACATTCGTAGTTACGTTATTTTGGAGAAACTTGCATCATCTAGTGAAAAATGAATATCACATAAGGCCGATTGATATGAAATGGTTTTTTTTTCTGTTCTTAAGCTTGATATATTTTCTAACTAAGTTACATTTCAGGAAAAAAGAAACTCATATTTTTTGTACACTTATAATAAAATAGAGTGAATACTGATATGAATAATTAACGTTAAAATAGGTATAAAAATAATTTGTAAGTTGTATCAAAAGTTTAGAAATATTGGTCTAAAAAGTCAAAATTAAATATAAATTAATTTTGTTTATAATCCAAAATAGCATGTTTGTATAAATTATGTTTAATATAGAGAATTTAGTGTTTAAAACTGCCATCATATACATTATTTATTTAAGCAATTAAGTATATATGTGTGTGTGTGTGTGTGTGACTTTTATATTTATTACTTATTGAATGAAATTGTTGTTTTCTAGTTATAATGTAACTAATGTTAATACATATGTTAAGTTTATGGTTCATAGTTTTTAAATAGCTCTTATGATTTTATTATAAAGAAAATAAATTATTGTACTATATAAATTCAAACTATCTTTTTAATAATTAAAGGGTTTAAAAATAAAATTTGTATAAACCTCATACTGTTTCATCATACAACTTACTGTACCAGTCATAATCACAATTCTTATGTGAAATTTTCTGTAATCACTAACTACTTTTCTTAAAATATTTTTCATGCTTTAAAGGAAGAGAATGCTAATAAGTTAAGACAAATTATAATATCAATGGATAGTTTTTTGTATAAATAGAACGTGTAATATATAGTATTGTGGGTGAATAACTATGTCCATAATAATTATACATATACATAGGCTTTGTTATGCACATAGTCAAAGAAAACTATACGAATAAATACATAATTAAACAGAAGATATTAGTGTAATAGTTTGTAAGAAAATGTCACGTATATGTTAATGAGTAGTCATGCAAGTTTTGTCAAGTATTAGAAATAAAATACACAGAGAGAAGCAATTAATTGAACCATTGTAGCTCTTCAAAAACAAGTAGTTATTATTCTTAATTCAGAGAACAGTGATGAATCACAAAAGACATAATGATAATGCAATGCTAATCACTTGCTTTTATGAAAGATTAAACTATTTGGAAATTTGTTGGTAATCATGAATGTAGAAGCGGAACATTTTTTTGGAAACAAATATATGTATGATAAGCTCTGCACCTATCACTGTTAAAGTAATCTTTCTTAATCAGTTTGAATTTTTCTCATAAATAAATAAATATTGAGGTTAACATACATTCTATTGTTTTAGTCTCTTATTTCTTACTTAATGAATATAAAAATTGCATTTGCTATTGAACAGTTAAGGTAGAATATATTTTTTAAACTGCATGTACCTAGCTGTACATTCATTCATTCATTGTTTTTATTTGTCACAGTTTTCCTGATCTTGGCAAAGAAAATGGCAAACTTAACACAGGAATGTGCCAGGTTTACCATGGTGCTACATGTTCAAAGCTACTTGCAAACAAAACAGTCTTTTTAAGTTCAATTCACAGCCAGGGAATTTTGGAAAAAAAGTTAGCAGCAGCTTTTTCAGTGATTGCTTCTTCTCAAGATGTTTCATCAGAGTGTCACAAGTTTGCTATTCCTTCCCTTTGCTACTATGCTTTTCCTCTGTGTGAGGAAAATTCATCAACTCCGAAGCCACGTGAGGTCTGCCGAGATGAATGTGAAGTATTAGAAAAGAGTATTTGTCGTTTAGAATATTCTATTGCTAAACGACATCCTCTTATTGGTCTGCAAAATATACTTCCAGCATGTGAAGATTTGGCTCCATTTGGTTCAGAAACAAGTCTAACTTGCATGAGACTTGGAGTTCCTAATTCTATTCAAAAAAATGATGGTAAGTATTAATCTCAAAGCACCTTGTGTGTTGTGACTATATACCATTCTACTCTAAAGATAGCTTCTAATGTCTGTATAGTATATGTGTTGTGTATGACTTATGATTTGTTTTAATCCAACTTTAAATAATTATATCTGTAAACACACACAGTTACCAAACGTATTCAGAAAGCACATTCCTCATTTTTTAATGGGTTCATCCCACTTTAATTTGAATATGAATTCCATGGCATATGTTGTGTAAGGCTGAAAAAGAGATGAGTAGCTCACACAGACAGCCAGTTAGATTCAAGATGTAATGGGAAAAGGGTTAAAGTGGATAAATCATTGGTTTAAAGTATTGGTAGTATTTGTATCCAAAATGTATTAACCACCTTATTCATATATTGTTCACTGTGGGCAATGTTGACTTAGCCAACCAAAATTATTCACTTCTCAGTTCCATGTGAACTTTGTAACAGATGAAAATAAACTCAAATCTAGCTTAAATGAAAGTTTAGGACTGCAGATGAGTGTGAAATACAAATATAATAAAAAAACTAAATCAAATTATATTAGAGATATATGAATATATCTTTATTCATATAATTTTTTATAAGTTTAAATACAGATTTCTGCACTTAGTTACAAGGTCTAGACAAGTAGGATGTACCCAATTTTGAACTGTGCTAATCTTGCCCATTTGAACTGTGGCCAAAAGCTTAGCCAACTCCTCACTTATATTCACACTTGACCAACTTGCTGTCTGATTTATTATGCTTCTCTTGATGAATTTTTGGCAGATTGCTAACAGTGGTGTGCTATCAAATTTTGGGGCCTGGAAACAAGAAAATAAAGCAGGGCTCCATACACATGCAGCAAATAAATTTTTTAGAGCATCCTCTCTATATGTTTTGGGCAAATGTGTATTCTGAACTACTGAGCCCTGGTTAGTTGCTCTCCTGTAGTGGCACAGCACTAGTTGGTTTATATAAAGAAGTCAGAAACACTGGCTAACTTTTTCTGTTAACAGGGCTTAACTGATGATGTGACATTTTGTGGAGCTTAGGGTGTCACATAGTCAGTCAGTGATGTATTTACACACAGGCTGACTAGGCCCAGACCTAAGGTGGCGAAATTCTAGTGGCATTATTTTCTTAAAAAGAAAATACTGAAGTTAATACAAATATGTAGCTAACTCAACACTAATAACAGTTTGTTAGAAATAAGACTTACAACCCTTCTCTTTCTGTCACCCCTCACCTCTTTGCTATTGCTAATAAATCTCTGTTCTCGACCCTACTGTCCTAAAAGATTTTATAGCTCTTGATTTAGACTATGTACAGTCCAAGGAGCATGTGGGCAGCACTTCTGAATGAGCCTAAGGGTGGCAAAAACTTTAATATGTCACTGCATGTAGTTTTGAATGTATATGAGTCTGATTGTACTATCTTAACTGTTAAAAAAGGTGGGGTGGTACCATGAAGCAGGCTGTTTGAGCTGATTTGATCTTAGTCATCTGGTAATATTATGTTTGATATTAACGTCTTGGGCATTGTTGGCTGTAAGGCAGATGTTGCTGCTTTACAAAAGGATTTAGATCATTTGACAAGATGAGCGAATAAATAGCAGACAGCTTTTAACTATAATAAGTGCAAGGTAATAAGTGTGTTATCATAATTTGGATTATAAATATCATCTTCATGGGAATAACATTAGCAGTGTTATGGAAGAAAAGATTCTTGGTGTTCTGGTTAATCAGTCTCTTAAGCTATACAAGCAATGCATTGTTGCTAGTGGTAAGGTGAATAGAATTTTATGTTGTATTTACAGAACTATTAAATATAAGTTTAAAAAAGCTATAATTTCATTGTATAGGTCATTGGTTAGGCCATATTTAGATTACTGTATTCAGTTTTGGACCCTTTACCTTAGAAAGGACATTGAATTATTGAAAAGTGTTTAGAAAAGGGCTACTAGGATTGGTACCTGGAATGAAAAGATTGTCATATGAGGACAGTTAAGATCTTTGAGAATATTAGAAGACATAAATAGAAATTTTGGCAGGGTAAGAGTCAACTTCAGCTAAGACGGTTTTATTTTTTAACCAGGTTGTTGGCCTTTGGAATGGGTTACCTTCAGATGTAGTAGAGGCAATAAATTGTAAAATATTTGTATAAGACTTTTGCATGACCTCAGTTGGAGTATTGTGTATAGTTTTAGTGCCTTTAATCAATACAGGAAATATAGCAGCATGTTAGATAGAAATAGACTACTAATTTGTTTAAGTAATTTAATTGAGATCTTATTAAAGTTTTGGGCTTATTTTCGCTACAGTATTGAATCATAGGAGACCTCATTATTGTAGATATTCAAAATTAGTTGCACTTTTAAGTCTTTCAGTGGTTAATCTGTTTTAATATTGAAATAAGATGATTGGCAGTGTTTTCTTGAGTATTAGAGAAACAGATTTAAGTTTTGAATTACAAATGCAGTTTTGTTTTTTAAAAAGCATTTTTTATTGTTAGTTTTATAAACTAATAGAGCACATTAGTTTGTCTGATGATGTGGTTAATTTTAATCATTTTAAACTGTTGTTGCATAAGTTTGATCGTTTTTGGTGGGTTGAGACAAACCTTGATTGATCAAGTGGTAGTCCAGTTGTCACATTGCTTTTACATATGCTTTAATTATTCTGATAACTTTCTAAGTTTCTGTCTCAGGAAGTTAACATTTTGATTTGGCTTTTAGAACATACTTGTTATGTGGGAACAGGAGAAGACTATAGAGGTGTGATGTCTCAAACTGTCTCTGGTCACGAGTGCCAGCACTGGAGTCATCAGATTTTCTATCACACCTCAGACTACCCAGAACTGATTGGCGGTCACAATTACTGCCGTAATCCTGGTGGAATGGAGAGCCAACCATGGTGTTTTGTTGCAGATCCACAGGCTCGGAAAGAGATGTGTGAAATACCCAAATGTGGTAAAGTGTAAATGCTTTTTTAATTTAACATTGATATCATTATACTTCTTTTAATTGTTTTTTTATTATAAACTATTCAATATGTGTTTTATATTGTTGTAAGCCATGTTTTTCATATTTTAGTGTAGATTTTTGCTAGAGGGAGCTGCTAAGCACAGTGATAATATAATATGTAGAAGGATTATTATGATATAATGATGAAGCTTCAAGAAATATGTTGTTTGTGAACCTGTATAAAAAGAATGTAGACTGGCTATAGAAACCATGATAGAAAAAATAATTTGTTAAAAGTTATGTGGGATAAACTTGGCATTATTTTTACCAAATAATGTTAAAAACCCTGCCCAATGATAAAACAGGTTATAAAAAATACTGTTAAGTATTTATTACTTACTGTTACATACATGTTTACAGTGATCTGTATTTGCAATTTTAGTCTAAGGTAAAGGCTTAAGTGATTTTATATATATATATATATATATCATTGTAGGTGAGAATTGTAAGAATGTTGTCAAGAGAGAAATAATATAAGTTTAAACAGATTGTAATTTCATTGTATTGGTTTCATTGGTTAGGCTATATTTGAAGCATTGTATTCAGTCTTGGGCTCCTTATCTTAGGAAGGACTGTGATTTGTTGGAAAGGGGTTTAGAGGAAGGATAGAAGGATGATACCTGTGATGGAAAGATTGACATATAAAGATAGGTTAAGATCTCTGGATTTGTTTTCACTTGAAAAAAAAAAAGAGTTAGAGAGGATCTGATTGAGGTGTTTATGATTGTTAAGGAAATTTATAGTTTTTATGCATCATTTTCTCTTGAGAATGGTAGGACGAGGAGATACAAAAATTTATCTTGGCATAGTAATAGTCATCTTCAGCTAAGACAGCTTTATTTTTCCAATAGGATGTTTGGCTTTTGGAATAGGTTGCCTCAGGTGTGGTGGATGCAGTTAAGAGAGTTAAAGAAAGGTTTGATAAGTATTTGAATGATAAGGGCTCACTTTGAGTATGTTATTTTCATTTTAAAGTTTAGTTCAGTGGATGGGACAGACTACATGGTTGTATTTATAATGAAGTTCCATTGTTTATGATTCTTTATGCATCTTTAATTAGGAGTTTAGTGCTTTCTTGGGCTTTGGAGTATGCACAGAAGAAAGATACTGCTTCAACTAGCTAAACTCTAAATTGTTAAGCTTGTTGTCCCTCAAGTTTTATATTATATAAAAGTTACCAGTCACTAAAGTACACGTATCCATAATGTAAAATGTAATGTTCAAAAGTTTCTTTTGTTGTTGAATATCTGTTTTCATGTAAGAACTGTAACTATTATTGCTATTCAAGAAATATATTTAAATTTTTGAAATGAAAGATTGCTTGGTAGCTCAGCTGATTGCAATTAATAAGCCACTAAACTATTTGCTCTAAACTCAAGCAGCACTAAATATTTTGCCCTGGACTATGCACATAATTTTGTTGCAACATTGTTCTTTATTGGTGGGTTCTTTTAAATTACCTGGCATAAATAATTCCTTGCAGTTTATGTAAATGATAACAGATTAGTTTATTTTTTCCTTAATTTTTTTGCAAGCTTAAACATTGTGAAACTTCTAGGCCATATTTAGAAATGACGTTAACTGCAGTACATTAACATAATGAATAAACTTACATGTACTACTTCACGGCTGGATTGCAAAACACACTGACTGATTTACTCTATCAGCTAGAAACAACTCTGTTATCTTCTCAACTGTCTTTTTTTAATTCTTTACAAAACCTCATATTTGTAATCTACTTCAGAATTTACTAGCAAGTTTGATGCCAAAGCCTTAGAACTTTCAAGGGTTAATTTAATATTATCATTATGACCTGTAGCTCTTTCTATCTAACACCTAAGTCACAACAATAAAAATATAGTTATAACACTGCCCCTTCCTGGATTGTGAAGACTTTTGAAAAATTTCAGTGCAAAAACTAAAATACTACACTTAACTGTCCACTCTCCAAGTCTTTTTAGTGATTTTCTTTTCTGAGGCCCATTACATACAAATTGGATGGCATTTTGATTCTTGTCATTGGCCATCCTGTTGCTGAGGGAGTTCATCCAAGTGGTTGAGTGAATTTACTGGTGACTGCATCCTTGATGATCCATTGGAAGTAGTCTCAACAAGAATTCTGGTCTCCACCACAAGAGGTTTTGCTGACAAGTTCTTCTTTAGAGTTACCTAGTCGACCATTCTTTCACTGATGCACTTCCAAAGGTGATCACAGTGGATGACCTTTGACACGGATTGCCTATCTTTCTGAATTCTGTACACCACATCATTAATTTTTTTCAGTACAGCATATGGTCCTTCCCAACACCTGCTTAAGTTTGGAGTTTGTCCTTTCTTGTGATAAGAACTGTTCAGCTATAGCATATCATGTCAACGAAATCCAGTTTTATGTTTTATCGGTACTTACATCATAACTACCTTTTTATTTATCACAAACTGATTTAAATTTTCCCAAGTAAAGTCATGTATAACATCTTTATTCTTCGCATCCATGAGAGATCTTCAGACCATTAATCCATCTGGACATGTTGAAGAGTTTGGTTCTATTGTGGCCAATTCACTAGATGGAAATTTATCATTAACACATTGTAGTATAAGTATTGTATTTCTTGGTCATGCAATGACCACCATACTTGTCTCCACTAGAAGTTCAACATCCTGGATAATAATTGTTATGTAGTGCACAAGGATATTCTGGTCACTGACTATGAAGCTAGCCAAAACTTACATTCTTTTCTCTACATGAAGTCAGTTCCAAATATGCATTCTTCTTCTATGGTGATTGTCCACACATCATGAGATGTAGAGAAGCTTCCAAGAGTAAGGATAACTTCCAATTTCCCTTTTGCTAGAACCTTATGTCCACCAGCTTTTCGTATCAATCACTCTTCATTCTTTATTTCTCGAGGCAAGTTTCCATTTTTCATTAACAAATCAGGTTGAACAATTGAAGCTGTAGAATCAGTGTCATTCATCATACTGCAGTGTTTTCCATCAATAAACCCATGGACTTCTGGATGATTTTACTCAAATAATGAACTTCTTTAATATTTGGGACAGATGCAGTATTTCCAACTGAACTTTACCTCATAAATCAAACTAATTCTTGTTTTCCTGATGTCTGGTTAACTTTTTGTTGTTCCTTTGATCTGGTTTCGCTCTGTTTCCCTGACTTAACAGCTGTTGATTCCTGACAGTCTTGGCTGTAATGGCCAGATTTTCTACATCTATAAGAAATGTCTCTTGTCTTGTGGTTTATTTCCTCCATTCTGTTTAACTTGCTGTCTGATTAATTTTTCAATTCTTCTAGATTATTTTTAGGGGAAGTTGATGTCTCAGTACTACAGGCTCTAATGATCCAGTAACTTCGAGATGATGTTTTTAGCTGTTTATCTGTGACTTTAATGGATTCTAATTCCATTTCCAACTGCAGAGTTTCCTTTAAGGATATACACCTAATTTGCTTCATCCTAATTCTCATATCCTCACCTGTTATTGGATCCATAAGTTTGTCATGTGCCAATGAATTCATCATTTCACAAGGAGTGTCCAGATAAGATAATTAGGTAAGTCTTTCCAGATCTGCATTTTTGACTAATGTCTCTTCTTTCCTCCATACCCTGTACTGGAACTTTGCTCTGGATACATCTTTCTGGTGTGACACTACAAACCAGTTGAATAATTCAGTTACCAATGCTAGATAGCTGTTACAACTCTCTCTGCTGGAAGGCTACTTAAAAAGCTGGTCCTTTTAAATGGGGAGCAAGATGCATGGCTTCTTGTTCATTATTCTACCTGTTCACTCTGAAAATGATTTTGAACTGAGTCTAGTTTGGTGACGAGGAACCCACTTTGAGATTAATAATGGCTGGAGACGGCTTAAATGGGTAATGAAGAAAAACTTTAATATAAGTTTAACATGACAGCAAATGTACAACGTTTCGACAAGGTTTTGTCATCATCAGGTACCTGATGATG